TGGAAGTGCTCGGTAATAAGGCCATGATCCCAGCAAAGTAGTCAACTGCAGGTCAATTTTTTAACACCTGTTTTGGTCAAGGTTACAGTGAAGACCGTAAAAAATCCTTTGCTGCAGCTGTTTTGATCAAAACATCTCCTGACACCCGCGCAACTAGGTTTCATGCCTGGTCGTTTATGCATCACCGATGTGCTCGTGAGGAGGCGTGAGTGGTTGCAACCAGTGAACCAGGAGAAGTCCCTCGATGTACTACTACTACTATATAATAATACTAATAATAATAATGTGTCAGCTGTACTCCGTAACGGCGAGCACGCCGACGCCTAGGCGGATTCAAATCCGCGCCGCAAGATTATGAAACAATCTCGTCACCTCTAGGCTACGGGCCGACGTGATTTACATCGCTTTCAGCAAAGCGCTCGACAACATGACTCATGTGTTCCTCCTTCTCAAGCTGAGCGTGTGAAGTGTTGGCGGATCACTGCAGCAGTGGATCCGTGAGTTCCTCTTTGGGTGGAAGTGAAGAGTACAAGTTGATAGCCATCTGACCGACTGGTATCCTCCGCCCAGTGGCGTACTCCAAGGCACGGTGTTTGGCATACATTGTTCTTGATTTATATCAACGGTCCACCTCGGCTTCTTCGTTCGCTGTTCGTCTTGTTTGCAGACGACCTGAGGAGGTGGAGAATGATAGGCACTTCCAACGACTGCGGCCTACTTCAGCAAAACCTTGACCTCTCCATGTGGTTTTCAGAAGTCCATCTCCTGGTCAACCCATCCAAGTCGGTATTCATGAGCCTGGGGTTGGGTGGTGACGACCAAACCTACACCCTTGATGGCCATCTGCTACACCGAAACGGAGTATGCATACTTTGGCGCTTACACGCAACTTCTGCATCCAGTCTGCAGAGGTTACACTCGCCTCTTCTCATCCATCTTCAGATGAATGCTAGAGTACGGCCCGCCCGTCTATTGTCTGACGACTCGCGGCGAAGCGCAAAGATTGAACGGGTTCAACATGTCGTTACCCGTCTCATCCCCAGTTTGTGAGGCTTACCGTAAGAGGACAGGTGTGAGAGGCGGGGATTGTACAGCCTGGCCTATGGCCGATTTCGAATCGACCTTATCATGGCCTACCGAATTTCACATATTGGCGACTTCCCCATGCTAATCCCATTGCTCCACTTGCAAACGCCTTGCAGCACACGCGGACACCAGTACAAACTTGTGGTTCCATATGTGAAGCGAGTTCCCCATCCCCTGTGCTTTCAACCTTGAGTGGTACATGTCTGGAACGGATTGCCGGAACCTACAGTGGAAGCGAGCAGTTCGAACGATAGTTGGGTGTGCATTTCTCAAATGTTATACTCCGAGAACGGTTACCCACAGACATCTCACATTTTTGAGTCCTAATCTACCGTGAGTTAAACGGGTTTTACGAAATTACATGAGAACGTGAAAAACGATCAGAGTATTTACAGGTCACAGTCTGCCTTTTCTAACGTTTTGCTTTTACTTTGATGGAGTTGTACAGATTCAACTACTATCTACTGGCTCCCACAATACATTATTCAGCATCCAACAACATTACACAGCCTGTAGGATAGTTTTTATATCATATATGCAGTAGATGTTGACTCCTCGGATCTGATTATGTGCTCTCTGGATGTCGCCTCATAAACTTACCGATATTTAGAACATTTGCGGGTATGTTGATTGGAGTGGGGTGATCATCTGCGTGCGCACTGTAACCTTACAGGTTTTGTTGCTCAGATGCACGTTTGCTTTCCAATTTAGACGTAACGGAAAAATATGTCAGCATCGAGACGGAGTGACAATGGGTTTCCCACTTTAGTCGGTACTTGCTGATCTTGTTTGAACAGGGTTGCTTAAAATCAACCATCACAAATCAGCTTCTACTGCGATATCTTGACAACATATTTATGATGTTTCAGTCCCCTGAAACTATCGAAAATATTACCGAAATTTTTAACCAAGCCCATAAAGCGATGTATTCTACCGCGTAGGTAGAAGAAAATGGCTGTTTTCATTTTCTTGACGCTGGCGTAAGAAGACTCGACAGCTGGATATTACGGCGCCACGTATGTGGAAAAGGCACACGGAACGACCATTGCACCAATTTGCACAACTTCTTTCCACTGAGGTTGAGGTGGAATTAGTCGAACCAAAGGAATTTGCTCCTATGACTTACTAAAGAACTACAGCCAATATGATCGATTGGCTATTCAGACTGCTACATAAACGTCCACCTGGTTCGAAGGAAAAAGACGTCATTAGTCTTAACAGCAGACAAAAATGCAATTTTTCTACCATTTCCTTACAAAAGCAAAATCTTGACCAAATCACTTGCTCACTGTCTCACAAGCGCTCAGACGTACCTTCCCAGCACATCGATGATAAAGCTTAGCCTCAAGCATGGTAGATCTGTTCACAACAGCCGTGTGTATCTGCTCATTTACCTGTTTATCTATAGCAAGATACCTTGGTCATACGACTAAGTATCTGTTCGAGAAAGTAAAAGAACACCGGCTGAAATCAAAGGGGTATGCAGCTCCTTCATAGCTGCCTGCCTCACCGACACAAACTACAACCCCAAACCAGTCGTTGCACTCAAATTTCCATCGACTCGCGGGTAATGCTGGTCTACATCAAAGCAGATATTCCCATTTCCGTGAGAAAATCAAGACCAAGTGTGGGGTTAAGAATTCTTTTTGAGTAAATTTTCCTCTAGCTCGAACGTTTACATGGCGCGGATTAGATGTTATTAGCGTCAAACTGGGCTAGGAAATTGATTCCCTTGTTGTTCGGATCGTCATATCGATAGCTTAGGACTAGGCCTTAGATGGTAGACAAAAAAGGAGAATGGTATTACCCAAAAACTTGAAAACGCCATGTACTCAGCTCAGCTGACAACCTAACCTTTAGGCAACCTTGTCCGTTGGTCAAGATAGTGGTAGCGGACGTGTGTACCTCTCTTGCACACGTAATTCTAACTTCAAGTGGTGGATGTATATAGCCTCGGCAGTTGAACGGAGCTGCTTGTGTGAAGCGTTCAGGTAATGAGTATGTGACATTGAAGACATCCCCAGAAGCGATGTGCCAAAATTCAGGGATGTGTGACAAGGCCCTGAAAATCGACCTAGGCACGCGCGTAGACGGATACAAGAAGCTAATGAAACTATCGCCGGCCGGTGACCGAGTAGTCTGCACGCCTGGTTTGCAACCATAAGGTCACTGGTTCGAATCCCCGTAGGGGTGGGGGTCCTCACGGTATGCTCAGTCCGCGCGCAACCGGTGGTGGTCGCGTGGCAGCAAAGCGCGGCTACGGCGTACTGCGGACACATTATTATCTATTATCATCGCAAATCGGTTGCACAAACCGAATCTGTACACTCAGAAGCAATTCGTTCAGGCATTACAGCTGCCCATCCCGATCGCTCGTGACCTCTACTCAGTGGGACCGCGCGCATGCTAACGCAATGACCTAATTAACAACAATAATCGACATCCTCTAAACATCGGTTTTATCTTTTTGACTACCTCATTAGTCTATCTACTTGATATGCTCCATATATGATTATAAAAACGTAATGATGTATCATCGAATACATGTGTTCGCTCACACTGACTTTTAATCATCGATGCACTTCACTAAGAGATCTGAAATTTTCATTGGATCTGTCCCCAATGACCGTCTTTGTGCTCCTTTGTCCTCCTTGCTGTATTTTGCACTGTGGTATCCCAATGCTTATTTCTAAACACATACTCTACTTTGATCAATTTGCACACTAGCTATCGTCCTCTCATCTTTGCTGTAATATCCTTTGTTGGCATTTGGATCAGAATGCAGATTACTGTATTTTCTATTAACGCATTATGCAAATTTTTTGGGTTTTCATCCTTTGTTCTATGCGCTATTTAAATGGAGATAGGTATGTGTTGTAGTTTTTAGTCCCACTTACCTTTGATGCTCAGTTTGATTTCTTCAAGCGTGTTAACTTTTTGATTAATGGTGGATGTTTGTGAGTAGTGTAAAGTTCGAAGAAAGTAGAAGCCACGATTAAAATTCACGCACAATAATATGCCTCGACGGGGAGTCGAACCCCGGTCCACGAATTTCCGGTCCGTTGCTCTACCACCTGAGCTACCGAGGGCTGACGATTAGGTGCGCAAATTTTAACACATGTCTTCTGCTTGGTGCGCGACGTGTTGCCAATAAGCTCACAGTACCTGTCCTGATGTTGCAGATTGGCTCACTCACCCGTCACTTCCCAATAGACCGAAGTTCCTGTCCTTCAGACGTCCAATGGGCGATGGTAGATTAATGGTGGATGTTTGTGAGTAGTGTAAAGTTCGAAGGCATATTATTGTGCGTGAATTTTAATCGTGGCTTCTACTTTCTTCGAACTTAACTTTTTGACTCTGAAGATTGCCGTCCATAAGAGCGTAGCTGTTTTCTGTCACAGCGCTGCCTAACTTTGTGATGAGCCTGTTCAACTACGCTAGCAATCACCATCGGTGCTTTCGTTTCGCCTCTTGCTGCATTAAAATAGCCCAGCCTCCAGTTAACCATAGGTCATGCTGCCTTCCATTAAGATAGATACGACTTGTGTCCTTTCTGCCGTTCTACTGCTTTCTCATATTTAGCCTTAACTTTAGTTCCATTCCCCTCTACTAACTGTCTCCGGGTTTCTCAGAACAACCAACACCCAATATTTACCCACTGCAAATGCGATACCGCAGCTTACCTCAAAGTAATTTCGGATTGCTTTTATCACCCTTTGCTACTGCATCTTTTCCTCTTTTACATGCATTTCGCAATTTCTACGCCCCAGCATATCACTCGTCTGGCTGATCGGTGAAGGATTTCGTCTCTCCTAAAGCTTTTTGCACACCCGTCTAGCTCCGCTGGGCGCCGTGTGTTCAGTTGCGAAAGTCATTGTGGAACCTGAATCTCTCACCTACTTTTTTATTTTTAGTGTCCATATCCTCACTGCGGTCGTCACTATCAAGCTGAGCGTAGTTTGCTTCGTCACCTCTCAAGGTATCACAGGGACTCTGTTAATTACCCATCGGAAACGCGTCACACTCGGACCAGATCTATCTATCGTAGGTCGGCGTCGGAAGAACGTCCAGTTACCCAATGCTTCAACAGATCACTCTGCCACCCAAATGAAACGGTACGTCTCGCTCGCTCGCTTTTTGCAAAAGACCTCTACTCCGTAGTACGCGCCTGTACTTTATTCATCACACTTTTACTCAGGTAATAGTTATCGCAATAGTATAATCTCTTGTATACCGATTATGTGTTTCTTCATTGTACTCCGGCCTTCAATGGACATTCATCCCTTATCACCTTGCTGCAACTCATTTTTAAACATCGCTATCATTAGTATTCAAAACGTTTGCTAGAGATGAAAACCAACTTACCTATTATGCCGTAGTGCAATCCAGTCGGAGTGCAGGAAAAGCTGAAGAACGAAATTGACAAAGACACAATAAAGTTCATGTAATACTTTGTTTTATGCGTCGAGCCTAATGTCATTGTCTGAAGGGGAATAAGTAATAAACCCACAACACATACGCCATCCACTACCTACTCATGATCATGTCAGCAAGTGTTTCCGGCAACACGTCTTCATTGGCTTTCGGATAGTGATTCGGGAGTTTTGGTTGACGCTGACTGAGGCCAACACGTAAATGAATGCCTTCCTTCCTTGCTTTTCTTCCCTGGCTTCTCTGCAATCCAGTTCCAGGTCATGTAATCAACTTGACTGGCCGAACCCGGTTCCTAGATGTGCGTAACTTTTCATAGCCCTGCGATCGGAGCCAAGTGTAAGGCATAACAGTGCTGAGTGGCTCCCTTGCTCTCCTACGCCAAATGCCATCGCAATGAGACAACTGGACCTTAACTTTGTGCGATGGTTTACATGACTCAATAATGCATTGAGCTATGCTGGACAGTGTTATTTCGACTTTGAAGCAACCCATATCGAATTGATCAGTAGCTAGAGGCAAGACAAGCTCAGTCTCCTATCCCTCCAGATTGGGAGTTGGAGTGAGGGTGCCTCTTTACTTCATAAAACGGACCCTCTGTAGCCTTGTGCCAATATCCCGTTGTCTTGCGGTCAGCTTTTGGAACCAACGGCTTTGGTTGAGAACCCTAATCGTTCTCTTGTCTAGACCTGGACAACCTGACAGTATCATGTCCACGCAATACAATGAACTGCTTTTCAAACACTATCTTGTTACTCTGGCCATCGTGGGGGTTAACCAACGGCACCTAACTGCTGCATCGAACAGGGTAGATTAGGGTGAGATTGCAAATGTCCAGAGCTTCCCGCTTTCTCATTATCCCTCATGCGCTTTTTCCTCCTCACCGTCCCATTCCGACTTCACTTAAGTCCCACGTGTTTTCAACTCCAAATTCTTGGCTGCCCTCCATCGTCCCCTGATAGGCATTTGTCGTTCACTTTCAACTCATAAGCAATCGCAGGGCATCGCTCCGAGCTAGTCGACAAGTCTATCTTCAACCGAGCGGAAAACGTTAATCACCCATTTCCATCGGTAAAATCGCAATCAGTCATCGCTCGAAACGATGAGTCCAAAACTGTCGTCCTATTTGGAGTACTAGCGTGGATACTGATCACCCAGCCGTATTTGTCGACTTGTGGGTGCTTTTCGATTCACATACGTAGTGAGGCTGTACGAAAACAGACGCAAGCCAGCTGGTGGAGCCATATGTTCGTAATGCACATCAAAGTACGCTGGCAACTTGATCGGAAAAATGCCCACTTCACACAGTTGAACATCTCTGGTTGCATATTCACCAGACGTTATCATCACCAGCAGATATGTCTTGATGCGGCAGATCAAATTACCAACCTGCACTTTGGGTCTCTAGGCAGTCTCTGGATTTTCTGTATGCTCGCCGATAGATTCCTGCTGGAAGCGAACACAGTGAGACTCGCAATGATCTCATAGAAAAACTTCGTCCTAGCCTGAAGAGTGACTGCGAACCCTGGTGGTCTCACTGTGCATCGGTTGTGTGAACAGTGGTTGCTCTTGGTAACCATCGTAGGATACCTGGTGTTAGCGAAACCATTCTTGACGAAAGTGGACAGCCAATCCACATCTTATCAAAACGCTCAAAACGTTGGGCCGAACACTTTACAAGCCATTTTAATCAACCCAATTTATCGCCTGGCAATAGTTACCCTTCCCACTGGGCCGTCTCTTTGGATCCGCCTTCACGCGCAGAAATCGAAGTCAGGTCAGACTTGAAAATGAATAACGCCGCAGAAGTAGATAGGCTCCCCCAGCCCTCTTCAAATACGGGGGGCATACTGTTGTAGACGATTTGCAGAATTTACTAGTGAAGATCTAGGAGCAGGAAACAGTCCCAACAAACTGCAACCGCTCCGTTAAACTTCCAATTTGCAAAGGCGGATCACGTTCGGAATGCGGCAATCACAGAGCATTCACTCTGAACTCAATTGCCTGTAACTTACTTGCTGGACCGTAGCCTAAAGATAACAAGCTGCTCTTGTAATCTGGCGGCGCGGGTTTGAGCTTGCTTGGGGGCAGGACGACCCTCGCAGTATCCTTAGCCTGCGTGCGACCGGTGGTGTTTGCGCGGCAGCGAAGTGTCGGTACTGCGTACCGGCGTACTGCTGATGCCTTTTTTCTGTTACTTTCCTCTGTGCTTCTCCGCAGTCCGGCACCCGTGAAAGCCAGATTCGTAAGGAACATGCTAGGTTTCGCCGAAATCGTGGTTTTTGTGATCACATCTTTACGCCACTTGTTGGAAAATCACCATATTTATTGGCGACCCACCATGGTTCTGTTTCTCGACTTAAAAGGTTTATTCGATCCGGTGAATCGATGTGTCCTTTGGGACGGTTTGCTCACGAAAGGTGTGCCAGATAAATAGGCGATTATCAGAGTGCTATACGCGCGTAGTTCGGGCAGAGTGAGTGCTTATGGCAAACTGTCACCGCCCTTCAGTGTCGGATGGCACCAGAGTATCCCCAATGATGATGTGCGTAGGCTAGTACTAGGCAATGATAATCATGCTAGCACCCTAGAACAACAGATAGCACTGAATAAGTTGCATTGGCTCGGGCACGTGCTACGCATGTCTGGTCACCGCTTACCTAGGAGGACCTTGTTCAGTCTACCAGGTGTAGGATGGCGCAAGGCTCGAGGTGGACAGAAGTTGACTTGGCAGCGGGACATGAAGTCACTGACGACCAAACTGGGTGCCATTGGTCCGTCTCGCCTTCCGGGCTGGAGTCCACGTGACTCACCTTGTGCTTGGCTCGAGACTTTACAGGACATGGCTCGCAACCGACACCAGTGGCGCGTTTGCTGCCGTCTCCTAATCGGATTGCCTGTTTAAAGTATGTTTGGTGCTGAGTTATCTGCGGGGTAAGGGATGATTATGACGCGTCGTAGTAAAAGCCGCAAGGAAGCTGTCTCGCCGATGCCGCATTATCTTTGCACGATAGCCAGCTGTTTGTTACGGTTTGTTGTCTACACAAGGTGTAGGCGCCTTGACCCTGAATGCATTAAGGGCATTAAAATTTTCAGGTAAGTCCCCCTTCTCTCCCTCTTCTTATTCTTTATTTCATAGGTCCTCTTTGTTGTATGGCAGCGAAGCATCAGTTCAAATGGCTGATGTACTGCTGTTGATGATGATGATGATGATCAGTGTCTCCAGCGATGTAAGACAAGGATGCCCTTTTGTTACCTTTCCTTTTTTAAATTTGTCATTGACGAAGTCATCAAAACGACGCTCACTGAGCATAACCTACAAGATTTGGAGCTGCTTCAAGGTGGGCGACTTATTGGCTTGAAGTATGCTGACGGCATTACACTCATCTGTGACAGCTGACAAACGTGTCAGGCAGCACTGAACAGATTAGCACTGGCCATCGGTCGTTTTGGGCTATGCTTTGCTCCGTCGAAATGCAAGGTCCTTCTCCAGGATGGGCATTGACCCACTCCTGCGCTGACCCTTGGTGGTGATCAGTTAGAAGTCGTTCAAGAATTCAACGACCTGCGCAGCTTTGTTGGCGCCGGTGGGATCGAAGAAGAGGTCACGAACCATATAGCAATAGTTTGAGGCTCTTTTGCCAATTTCCGCCACCTGCGGCGCCGGTGTGACGTCACTCACGCCCTGAAAGGCAGAGTTTACGGTGCAGTCTTCCGTTTAACCCTAGTCTAGGATTGAGAAATCTGACCCATCAGGTAGACAGACCTGAATAGGCTGGTTATTCCCGACCATTGTTGCCTTCGCAGCTTAACTCATCTCTGGTGGGAAAATGACGTGAGTAATGAGCGAGTTCAGCGTCTTGTGTTTGGTGCAGGAGCGAGTGAACCGCTCATCACCATTATTTCACGCAACAGGCTCCGATGACTGCGCCACATGTTCCGCATGCCAGCTCACCGACTCCCGCGTCGTGCGTTGTTTGCGCGATCGGGGTCTGGATGGAAGAATAGGAGGGGAGACCACGCAATGACTTGATCAACAGGTTTGACGACCATTACTTCGAAATTGGCGTCGGTCACGTTATTTCACCTACCATCCTCAGATGGCTGGGCCACGCGTTACGCATGCCAGCCCACCGGTTCCCGTGACGTACGTTCGTGCGCCGGGGGTGTGGATGAAAGAAGAGTAGTGGTGGCCAAGCGATGACTTGTTCGAGAGGAATGAAGGCCCTCACTTCTGAGCCGGCCTCGGTTGGAGCGTCTCGGCTCTCTGGTTGGGGTCTGGTGGACGATGAACTTGTTTGGCTGGATACAATTGCTGACATGGCTAGGAGCCGGTTTCAATGACCCGTGCTGTGAGTTTCTTTGTCCCTCTCTATCTCAGCCTTTTCCTCCCAGCACAGTCTCATTTCTTAGCGTAATATAATTTTGCGTAATGGTTTTTTGTTACATAGTAGCCGGCTTGTAACTTTCCGGAAAGATGTTCATCCGTTACTGGTAGCTCAGCAGGCATGCATCCGTTGCATTTTTTTCTTTTATGTTTTGCGGCACAGTAGCTGAGGTGTTTTCCACCTCTAGCTAACTTGTATGATGACGATGATGATGATGACGGGCATCCCTGTCTCAGACTGTTGTACTGCTTCGACTGCAATACTGCTGGCTACGGTGTGCTTCATTTGGCGTCCAATCCAACCGTGAAACCAAGAGACGAGCAGATGGATGCGGCGTGTATTCTATTTATAGGTCAACCGTACATTCTAATTATGAAAACCGTGATCTTCTCATCAACCTATATGATCGCGTTCCGCCTCAGTTCACTATATCTGGCCATATACATCCAGGCACGACCGTCGTTTATTTAGTCGACGCTCGCCCGAGTTTACCAACCACTCACATTCCGCCTGTGTTCCATATTTTATCGGCTGTTCGTACGTCCGGCACAGTGCTCGTCCAACCTGTCGGTCTTGCCTCCTGTAGTAACACCGTGCGTGAGTATTCGCTCCGCTTCGCCTCCTTCTTTACTGCTGGCTATATTTAAGGGCGACGATACTTTATCATATGTCCTCACTTTGCTCGAGCTAATCGTGTATAGTGCTCCGAGGTTTACTTATTCCTCAGGTACACTTGACTAATCAGACTCCCAAAGAGCGCCTTGATCCATCGAATAGAAGGCGTGCAACACGACTAGGATGGATGACCAATATATGTGGTATTGTTCCGCTGGTTGGTACAAATCGAAGTTGCAGCATTGAGTTCGAAGAAACCCGGCCTGCTCCTCACGAACCTGGCTTACAAGTGCACCAATCAGTCTGTGAAACACGGCCGAGTAAGTGTTCCAGGGGGAAATTCGTCATTTCAGTAATAAAGTGATTTGATCCAGTACTGTGCACCTGATGCATCTGTTCGTCTCAAGATCACCCACGGGGAGCACTTGACCATCTACCTGCCTTCTCATTTATCGGATCGGTCCTACGGTCTCATTTTTTCAGCTCCTGGAAAAAAGGCATCAGCAGTACGCCGGTACGTAGTACCGACGCTACGCTGCCGCGCAACCACCACCACCAGTTGCACGTGTGCTAAGGATACTGCGAGGGTCGCAGGGTCCTCTACGTAAGCTCGAGCCTCCGCCCTCGTATCGCAACACAGACTTGTGATCCGTAAGGCTGCGGACTCCACCCGGTCTCAGTGTAAGCGTGCATTCCTGAGTTGACCTCTACGTATCTGTTCTGATTCATACTACTTGCATCCGTTTAGATAGTCAACTTGTGCCAAGCATTTACATCATGCTCCTGACTTCTGGTCTTGGCTCAAGTCGTGGCTTGCAATGAACTAGAGCACTTCAACCGGAATCGCACAGTAAAGCATAATTCTGACAAATTCAACACAGTTATCATTATCATCATCAATATACTTTAGCTGATGGTGATGGTCGCAACGATACTGGAACTTAACATGATGCGATAGTTAGAGTGTAGGACAGGTAGGTATCTTGTCAACATTCGCATCAAGCGCAGCCACACCGGGGATGTCAAGCGACAGCTAATCACTTGCAATGCCAATATCCAATCAAATATATCGAATAAAGTATACGGGTAGGCCGACAACTCTTCGTTATATTTGCATATTAAATAAGTGGGTTATCAACAACCCCGCGATATATTCAAGATTTGAAAAAGAACAAAAAATGCAACAAACGCGAGAAAATAAACGAGGTTAGCCACGTTTCGTTTAAGCGACTTGTACCATTAAATAGAAGATTATTCAGGTAGACATTGAAATAAGGTAACAAAATGACCATTAAGACAAAATAGCAGAACGATCACCTGAAATAAACTAATTCACCACGCAAGCACACGGTTAGTAACTTGAATGGAAACGTATGCAGCGTACCAACGCTGCCCCAATTCTGCTTACGCTCTAAGCAGGACCCGTCGTCCTTTCGACGCTGGTTTTGAATGGCCTCGATCGTGGCTCACTAGGCCTGCCTGACTCAGGCACTCGCGACCGCATGTGCTACAGCACCATGCACTCGATGTCGATGGAGTAGAACCCATCGGTGCTTGCCGCTTCCGCACTTGCCGCTTCTTCTCTGCATGCGTGAGGTCTTTCTCCCGCACTTCAGCAACTGCTTTCTTGATGAGATCGCGCCATACGCGCCGATCAACCGCTTTCGATTCCAAACACCTGAAATACATCTTAGAACGTGATAGGCTCACCTTGATCATGTTTTGATAACGAAGCTTCGGTTTTCCCACATTCAACGGACCAAGCAACAGCTGCTTCGGTATCCGTATCGAATCCATACGGCACACCTGACCAAGTCACCTCAGGTGTCTCAGCAAAAGTATACCGTCCACTGCATACATTCCACTTCGGCGCAACACTTACTTGTCTGCAACTCTGTCACACTAACCGATGCACAGAATCCGTCGCAGACACTGTTGATGAAATCGCTCGAGAGGTTTCACGTCTCGACGGTACATCGTCCACATTTCGCTGCCGTATAGGAGAACCGACAGCACCATGCACATGCAGACCATTAGCTTCGTACCAACAGTAAGCTGATCGTTGTTCTGCACTCGATATTCTAGCTTCACGAGTTCCGCCGCCACCTTCAAGACCCAGATACGAAGCTCACTGTGAAGCTTGCTGGTCAGTCGACATCACACTCCCAAGGTAGCAGAAGCGGAAGGTGGTTTCCAATACTTCAGCACCAATGTTGCTTCGCGGCAATATTGAAGATTGCACCTCCGGTGAAGGCTGAAAGAGACAGACAATTTTGCTTGTGTTGATGGTGAGCTCGAATTTGGCCGCTGTCGAAGCCAGAGCACTAGTCATATGCTGCAACTCATCCACGCTGTGTGAAAACAAC